GCCAGGAGCTATAACCGGTTATAGCTCGATTACCTCTACAATCCTGGCCACCTGGTGAGGTAATTCCTGGGCAACGGTTGGGAAATTACTTTGGCCTCAATCAAAAGGTAAAGCTATAACCGGTTATAGCTCGATTACCTCTATAAACCTGGCCACCTGCTGAGGTAATTTGCCGATCCTGTGCCAGGATATTACGTTGCAGAATCCCTGCCCTTTTGTTTCCAGCCGGCAATCCAAACCCCGGCCCAGCACTTAAACCTGCTTCGCGTCCTGGCCGGAAAGCCGACCGAAGGCTAACCAGGCCAAGCCCATTAAACGCAGCCGAAATAAAACGTTTGAAGTTGGAACTCCGGTTGCAACTTTTTTCGACTGTTTCGGGCATCCCCCTGCCCTGCGTCTCGACTTCAGAAACTAAACGGCTTCGGGCATCCCCCTGCCCTGCGTATCGACTTGACAAACTAAACGGCCCGGCAGCAACCAGTGTAAGTACAGGCGCATACTTGTGCGACTCCGTCAAGTCGATCAAACGGCCCGGCAGCAACCAGTCTAAGTAGAGGCGCCTACTTGTGCGACTCAGTCACGTCGATCAAATCACCATCGCGACACCTGCGCAGAATGTGATGATGATGTAGTTTCCAATGCTTTCAGGCCTCTGTCCCCGCGACGGAGAACAGACAAGTAATTTAAATAAGACCAGACTGACTGCACACTTGACCGTGCCTCAAGTGCAGAAAGCATGCATCAAAGCTATGGGCTGGCTGCTTTCCGGAAGTCGTGGCCAAGCCCAGAAGCCAGGCAACTGCAATCGATCTAATGTGCTGGGTGTTGCCGACTAGCTTGATCAACTTGTTATCGTCATCCGTGACGAGCTTCGGAAGCTTCAATGAAGGAAAGTCGTGCATTGCCTCAGTCCTAAAGCCTATTGTTCCGGGTGCCGATTAATATTACGACTCGCAAGCTGTGAGACAGTAAAAGTCCCATGTTTCTTGCCAGGGTGCCAAGGCATCCTCTCCATCAAGCACGATGGGGCGACTGGCCGGCATGGACGGGGGAATGTAGACCATCTTGCTCGTCCGAGACCATGTCGGGCAAACGTCAACGCCAATGCGCACGAACTCCTCCGACTGGGAAGCATCCACAAAGAACGGGCGCTTCACCTCCCGATGCTTTAACACCGACTTGACCACCTTGGCCTGTCTCGTCGACAGCGACTGGTTGCCTGAGAAGAGACGCTCAATCAGCCAGGGACCACAGCCCAGAACAACAAGCGAATACTATCTTTATTTTGCTCCTGGCCAGGCTGCTCCGACGACGACTTCTGGCAAGCAGCTTTGTCACGGAGCTTTTGTGCTTAAGGCCGACTTTGACAAAGTTCTGGAACGACTTTTTGCACGACTCGGCGAGCTCGGCAACGGAGTTGGCCGTGCACTTGCTCCGATCCAGGAACAAGAAAAATAGCCGCGGCCGCCGAACGACTGCACCGACGTCTGTCGAGCAAAACTGAACCTTGACAGAATGACTCGAGAGTATGTCAGTGTCACTGCGTAACACTTGCGGGCAGGGAGCCAGAACGATGTGGTAGTTGACCCCAACCTTTCTCCGCATAATCTTCTTCACAGCTTTCAGGTGCTTCACCAGGCCATATACGTTCTCCAGCACTGCAAGCCTGGGCCGAAGATGCACGAGGCTGTCCAGCACACCAGTCCTCAGTGTAAAGTACGTGTCGCAAAAGACGGAGTAGTAATAACGACAAACAGACACTTGGTCAGCCTGTCAGTAAAGTCTGAAGCACAAGCCAGGACTCAGGACCCTTCTCTTTTGCTTGTCCGCCGTGCCGTGGCGCTTTCCAAGGCTGGAGTACGACTGGCACGGAAACCCTGCAGAGTACAAGTCGACTGCATGCGACTTGTACTGGTCCAGATCGCGGTCAAGCAAGTTGTCGTAGAAGCGCTTCGGTCGATCTTAGACATGAGTCTCAGTTTGTGGACACGAAGCAGCAGCGGCAGCAGCAGCAGCAGCAGCAGCGGCAGCATCTGGCGAGATGCGATTGAGGAGAACCACCGACTTGGCCGACTGGTCCACGTCGCAGCTGAAGGTATGGTGGTAGCGGATGTTCAGCGACTCCAAGGCGTGCAGCGGGGCCTGCAAGTTGATTTTCACGCGTGCTGACTTGACTGGCATATTTAATGTACACCACACGTCAAACAGTCCGAATGGCAGAAGACTGGGCCTCGATCCCGCTGCAATCTGTGGCGACTCTGAAAGGGCCTGAGCCTACGACTGGGACACAAGCCCGCATCCGTAGGCCCCACTGGGTAGAGCGCCTCGGTCGCCTGGTCTGACAGCAATTCAACGGACCGATAAGACTTGCCACTTCTCAGTCTGAGAGTGCAACATTGTGGGGATAGAACCAGAACTTGCTGTGCTCGTCATATCGGATGGGGCACCGGCACCGGTCCCTTGCTGCAAGCCAAACGACTGCTCGCAATCGAAGCAGCAACACTGACACCTGCAGCTGCCGACTTTGTTCCATGGCCAGGGCAATGGCAGGGACAGAGAGAAGTCTGAAGCCATATGAATGCACTGTCATGGTCGAGAGCTTTTTCTCATCAATGTCAATTCCCGAATAATTCCTCCTACAATCCGCCGCTGCACAAAAGGGGAACGACTTTCATAGTCATTGACAACTGTGAAGGCTGTACAGGCACGGTTGTCGATTCCGGTGAACGCGACTCGACTCGCGTTCTCTCAGGCTGGGCGACTTGCATCAGCGCTTGACTATTTGCCAGCTGCACGACTTGCATAGTCCTCCCTTCGCCAAAGAAAGTAAACTTTTGACCAAAAGCCTCTCTGACCCGACTCGTTCACTTCTATCTTCTCGGACTCGTTGTTGGTAACCTGTCGTCAGTTGAAACTGCAATCGAATCGGACTTGTGCTGCATGATAATGTCAGTCTATAGTTGCAGAATCGGCCTTCGCTTCATCATCTCTCAAAGGGTTCCACTGCCAGTGCCAGGCCCAGCGTGTACGATTGACCGGGCTGCGAGATCTTGTCTGACATTTGGCCGGCATTGCTAGCCTCTGGCGACTCTGTGACGAGCTTGTGGCCTAAGGGCTGCGGAAAAATTCTTTCCGAATTGAATCAATCCAGAAGTTGAATGGATGATGCACGGATCATATTCATCGTGGCCTGCTCGTATCCTAACTGTCCAGGTCCAGCGAGTGATTGGTACATGGCCATGAATTGCAAAACTTGAGCTTAAACACACATGCAACGACAAGCACTTTTTCTTTGCAAGC